GTATATTTGTATGCATTATTAGTCTCTGTGTTTGAATGTTATATGTGGCAATTCAATTTCACATTGTATTATGAATAGTTGAATATATACCATAATACCAACCTGCAAATTGATCCAACATAATGCGGCACTACTTAGTAACTTACTACTTCGTAATAAATTTTGATCGTTGAGAAATTTTTTGGATGAGTAGTGAACTAGTGATTCATTATATTAATCATTGTTTGGTTATCTAATGAATAATGAATGGACTTGCACTTATTAAACTAACTCATACTCCGTATCATATACGCTATTTACCTGGTATTGATATTTCTAATGTGTATATATGGACACTTTTTAAGCTAACTTATACTTAAAAATTTGTGTTTATTCCTGCTAGGCTGCTAAAAGTATGGACTCAGATTATTAAGATTAAATAAGTTGGCTAACCTGTGTGTAGTTCAGGGGTTCTTATTTTTGTTTTTATTCTTGCAGGGAGTGAAGGAAGTCAAGGAACCACGGATTCTTATTCTTGCAATGTAAGTTGCTCTTAAATTTTTTTATAAAATGGTATGTGTATATAATTGTTACTTTAAAATTACTTATATTGTATATAATTATATTGTAGATGGAGAGCCCTCAATCCAAACGGTCTGCTTCTTTTTCTGAACAAACGTCACAACCACTTTCTGAAAAGGATATGGAAGAATTGCAATCTACTTTGCCTCCTGATAAGAAGCTAAAAGCGGGGCGGGAATATATATGGAACAGAAAAAGTAAGAGGAAAGCTGAGTATTGGAAATATTACTTAGAGTACGTCGAGAATGGAAAACTACGAGCTGAATGTAAGTTCTGTCCTAAAACTTTTGCTGCTGATGGTAATCTTAATGGTTCAAAAAATGTTAAAAACCATGCAGAATCATGTCTCGGTAATCCTATTAATATAGAAAAAGAAAAGGGCAAAGAAAAGCAAACTAAATTGTATTTTGATCAAGAACATGAGAGTAGTGAATTAAAGTGTGGGAGTAGGATTATTAACTTGAATGATGTTAGAGAGGCATTGATTCACATGATTATTGTTGATGAGTTACCATTTAAGCATGTGGAAAAACCCGGTTTTAGGCACTTTGTGCAAGTTGCATGTCCACAATTTCACATTCCATCTTGTGTTACCATTGCTCGTGATTGTTTAAAGTTGTATTATAGTGAAAAAGAGAAATTGAGAGAAATGTTTAAGACATGTCAAAGAATTTCTGTGACCACTGATACTTGGACTTCAATACAAAGAATTAATTATATGTGTCTTACAGCTCATTTCATTGATAATGACTGGAAATTGAATAAAAAGATCATAAATTTTTGTCCAATTTCTAGTCATAAAGGAGAGGCTATTGGAAAAGCAGTTGAGACATGTTTAGAGTATTGGGGTATTGATGATAAACTTTTTACTGTCACTGTTGATAATGCTTCTTCAAATGATGTTGCTTGTGCACACTTGAGTAGAATGGTTAGAAGAACAGGATGTATAAATGATGGAAAAAATCTTTATGTTAGATGCATTGCTCATATCATTAATTTAATTGTGTGGGATGGTATTAGAGAACATGGTGTGTGCATTGATAGAGTTAGAAATGCTGTGAAATATGTTAAGAATTCCCCTGCAAGAATACTTAGATTCAAAGATCTTGTGCAAAAAGCAAACATAGATTCAAAATCTTCTTTATCCTTTGATGTCCCCACTCGTTGGAACTCCACATACATAATGTTGGAAACGGCTTTGAAGTTTCGACGTGTTTTTAGTGGGTTATCTCTTCCTGATGGAGAGGATTTGAATGACAATGAAAGGCCTCCCGAACCCGAAGATTGGGAAAAAGTGGAGTGGTTGGTTTTGTTTCTAGAGGGGTTTTATCTGTTAACTAAACGAATTTCTGGTTCCCATTATGTGACAGCTAATAAAGGTTTAGGAGAAATTGCTTCTATGTATGATATGTTGAATAATTGGGAACAAAGTGAGGACTTGAATTTTCAAGCTATGGCCATTGCAATGAAAAAAAAGTTTGATAAGTATTGGGGGGATGTGGATAAGATGAATAAGTTCATTTATGTTGCTCTTCTTCTTGACCCTCACTCTAAGATGGTCATTGTTGAATTGACACTAACGGATATGCATGGACCGGAAAAGGGTACAAAACTTGCTAATGATGTGAAGGAGTTCGCTTACTCTTTATTTGAGGAATATAGAAAAATGTATGCTACTTCTAATATTCCAGATTGTGGAGATAATATGTCAATGGATATTGATAATAGTAAAGGAGTGGGTTCCGATTATGTGAGGAAACTAAAAGAAAGAGCAAAACGATTGAAGGGGACAAGTGGGTATGCGATAAGTGAGTTGGATAGGTACTTAAATGATCAATTAGGGCCGGAGGAGGAAGAACAAGATGCATTGACATGGTGGGGTAAGAATGGTCAGCGTTATGTGATTCTTAATCGCATGGCACGTGACATACTAGCCATCCCATTGTCGACCGTTGCATCGGAATCTGCTTTTAGTACGGGAGGTCGTACTCTAGATCCATTTCGGAGTTCTTTAACTCCTAAGGTAATGCATCATTATCTTTTTATTTTATAAAATCAAGTTTGTTTATATCTTAATATGACTTTGTTTATACATATTTGTGTAATATTTTTGTATTGAAGATGGTTCAAGCGTTACTTTGCACACAAGATTGGCTTAGAGCTAAGGAAGTGCCAATTGTTGATGTGGAAGAAAATTTGAAAGAGTTAGAGGAAATAGAGAAAGGTAGTAATAATTTCATGTATTTGAAATTTTGTTACACCAAATTTATTATTTCATTGTTATCAATCATTAATATGTTATATATTGTATTTTATTTAGAGGTGCAACGTGGTGAATCTAACGATGTAGACGATGAAGTTGTTTTCGTGGACTCATTAGTGTGAATCACGCGATCAAAGGGAAAACAACTCGTTGGAGAATTTATGTATTTCTAGTACTTGAGAGTTGAGACTTAAGAGAATTTATGTAATTTTATGAGTTTTCGTGGACTTATTTGTATTTTCGGTGGACTCATTTGTATTTTTGGTGTTTGAGAATCGGGACTTTATAGACTTTATGTAGTTTTGTAATTGATAATTTTGGTTTGTATGTAATTATTAAATTATGCAACAGGTCTAAAAATCACAAAACAGGTCCATATGCAGGTCCAACAGGTTTTGTATTAAAAAAAAAAACGAAAAAGACACAAAACAGGTCCATTCAGGTCCAAACCCGGACCGGACCTGATTTTTCAGGTCTGGCCCGGAACCGGACCTGTTAATTCAGGTCCGGTCCCCGGTCCTCATAATTACCCAATTCAGGTCCCCGGTCCAAACAGGTCCGGTCCGGTTTTGGACCGGTGTACACCCCTACTTGCCGATGCATTATTTCAATCGATAATATATGGTCTATAATAATAATCAATATTTTGTAAAAGTTATGAAAATTTGATATCGAGCCATCTAGCTCCCAAACCATACACATTGAAATAAATATAATAATACGTTATTCGAGTATGGTTTAAGTTTAAGGTATTAGAGTGAATGATGTATTAATATGGTAAAAAAAAAAAAACAAATTACAAGTCAAAACTAATACTCCGTAATTTGTGCAAGTTGAAATAGTGAATAGTGATTAATCCAAGATTGTGGGCGTGCCGGAGTGGTTATCGGGCATGACTAGAAATTATGTGGGCTTTGCCCGCGCAGGTTCGAATCCTGCCACTCACGAATCTCTTACCCCGCTTTTTTAAGACCCAAAAACAGAAAAGAGCTAAAAGAATATAAGAGATTATACGCTAGAAGGAGGGGTCGAACCTCCGACCTTGTGGTTAACAGCCACACGCTCTAACCAACTGAGCTATTCCAGCTTTGATGTTTTTATATCCATATTATATGGATATGACTAATCTTAATAATACAATAAAAATCCATTGATTTGTTTAAATCTAAAATTACATTAATATGTCCTTCAAAAAAAAATTACATTAATATGACTAATCTTAATAATACAAAAAATTATTACTATTAATAAAAGTATTACAGTTTGGTTCATAAATTAGAACACAATTCATACTTCTTCCTCTCAAATTAAGACCACTTAGGGCCTTATCTCTTACGTTGAAATTCAGTTCAGTTTAAGCTCAGCTCACTTCAGCTCAATTCAGTTCAGTTCAGCTGAGTTCAGTCAATGAGAACAGACCCTTAATCTTCCATTATACAGTATATGGGCTATACAGAGCTCAGCAGGCATAGGAAGTTGGTTGTTCCCGGGCAGCGATGGAGCCACATTTATAACATCAACTTCAAAGCTGATATTCTTTTTAGGTAACTTCATCATGCATAATATTGTAAGGCAACTGAGGAAGATCATGTTTATTGAGTGTCGTTGAACGCAAAGAGGTCGAATGTTGATATAATAAAAGTTGGTAATAAACTTGAGCTTTTCTGTTAACATCAATATCATCGTAGAGCAGCAACCCTTTATAAAATTGTAAATAACTAAGGCAAACTACTCCATGTAATTCATTGTACAGAGTTCTCGTATAATGTCTCACTTATTGAGGGTATAATCTGAATTCTCTTGTTCATGTACTCAAATTTTTTTTTGGTCATTTCTAATTAAGATCATGCGCGAAGAGAAAGATGTAGAAAAACTGGTTAAATACATCACCAACCAGGCAACCACGAGTAATTCATGGGTGGAACGAATGGAACAGAGTTTCACATCCTACCACGCTTTTGGTGTCCGACTTTTTTCAAAATAGCTCAGTCTGAAATATCCATGTTGGTTTTCATTTGTATCAAGTATCAACCAAGGACATCTGGAGTCGTTGCGGAAGTTACATTTCAGCAAAAATCATGAGGATGAAAATGAGTGACACAAAATCAAGGGTTATTAAGCAATATAGTAGAAGACAACACCGGGCACATGAGAAAAACTTCAATGCTCAAACACATGAAAAAGAAATATGGATAAAAACGAACATAAGTAATTTCTCCCTTATTTACAGAAGGAGGAAAAAAACCATCATAATTCATAAGATCAATTGTACAGTTCTGGCTACTGAGTACAGGGCGTGCCTTCAGAAACATTTTTAAAAAGGGAAACAAATTAGTGTTTAGATTTTATGATTATAATGTTGACTGCTATCCTTGTTACCCCAGAACAGCGACTCAGCGAGTATCCCTGACTTAGTATAACATCACAACGGCAGATCAAAATTATGCCAATGCTTCTAAAGGCTCCCACTTGTGTCAAGGTAAGGGGAACACAGTCCACACCCTTGCAACAGAGAGGCTGTTTGAAATCTGGAAATGACATAGGAAGACTGGAGAGTGATAAAGCAAACCTAACGAAGTTTCCACTTCCTAAATAGTTCATCATATACAGGACCTTTTCCTGCCTTTGCTAGGTTTTGTTTCAATTTAGACAGTGTAAAGGAACTCAGCTTTATCTTCCGTTCAATCATGTCTTCAGCATACTTAACTGCCTCTTGAACTCTATTGCAGTCACGAAGCCCTAAAACCAAGAAATTGCCAGTCTCTTCCAACTCAGACTGATAATTATCAACCATGAATTTCCAGACCTTAATAGCCATGTATGGATCCCCAGAGTCTAAGTAAAGACTAATAGCAGCAGTGCAATTAGCTTGGGTTGGTAAAAATTCATTCTTCACCATCTCGGTAAATACAGATGAAAGCTCATCAAGCTTACGACTTTTAACTAAGTATTGAAACAAAGTATTATAACTCTTTGAATCTGGAAATACACCATCATAAACCATCTCATCCAAATACCTCCTAGCTATATCAAAATTAGCAAGATGAGAATGCAATGAAATCATCATATTGTACATTTGAGTATCAGGCCTGAAATCGCTCCTCACTGTCATCGCTTCCCACAGCAAGGAAGCTCCTCGGGCATCACTCTTCCTCACACAATCCTCCAAGGCAACCCCAAAAAACTTCATTCCAGGGGAACACCTCCTCTCCTTCATGGTGTTCAAGAACTTCAAAGCTTCATGAAATCCACTTGGAGCCTTAATCAATGTGCACAAAAACAAGTCATAAGCCGGCACATTCCTAGGGTCCCAACCAATCTCCTCCACCATCTCTCCAAAAGTCCTCTTCGCACCAGCTACATTCCCTTCATTCTCCCACCCCTCCAACAAAATAGCAAACGAATCAGCATCCAACCTAATCTTATCCTTAGCAATCCTCAAAAACTCATCTGCTTTCTCCGTCTTCCCTTCCCTACAAATCGCACTCAATAGCGAATTCAACGCCACAATGTCCCTAGGAACACCATACTGATCCATAACCTCGAACGTCATAAACGCCTCATCAACTCGATTCCCTAACACATAACTACTAAAAACCGATGCAAAAGTCGCAAGAGAAAGAATCCCTTCTTCCTTCATAGACTTAATTGCATCCCACATTGCATCAAACAATGAATTCTTCCCTAACAAATCAACAACTAAATTCCAAGCATAAGGGCTATGTCTATCATTCAATTGGTGTCCTGCCCACCTAAAGAACTTCACAGCAGCAGCAGGATAACCATATGACAATTTAAGAACTTGTTCAACATCTTCCCGAGTTACCCTAATACCATTATCATCTAGAACTTTCGCAACTGATAAAGGTGGGGTACTAGCTACAATTTCACATATTAATTTGATTTTTGGGGGTAAATTTGGGGATTCAAGATACGAAATAAAAGCTGGGCGATGCTTACCCAGATCATGAATTTGGCGTTGAGGGCTTTTGCCGTGAATATGGTGGTGCTTCTTCGATGATGGTGGTGATGGAGATCGATCGCGGCCATGACGCCGCTTTGATTGCTTCATTATGCAATCATTTCGATGGAGAAAACCCAGAAATTTTGGTGATTAGAGGGAAAATTGTGTTAGGGTTTCGGAGAGTTTGAATGAAAAAGATGATTTTTTTTACTGGAAAATGGAAGTCTAGCATAAACCCTAATTCAATTTGGGATTTTTTTTTTTTTAATTCCCCAATTTTAAGTCTCTCTCACAAATTTCCTGAGCTAAGGCCTAGGGCCATGGCCCCATGCCTGATCTAAATTGGTTAACAAAAGGGGAAAGGGGTAATATTGGTTTTTTTTAGGTTGCGGTAAGTAAAGAGAGGTTACACACTTACACTTATATTTAGCAATTATGAAATAAAAAGGAGAAGAAGAGAGGATAAACTGATAAAGATAGAGAATTGATAGGTGGGACAACGATAAATAATTTTTAGTTGGAATATTATTGCCCTTATTTGATATAATTTTATTTTTTTTTTTGAGGGCAGATATAAATTTGTTTAGACTAGTGTATGCATGCTTGATTTTGTTTATGGGTTAAATGGTTAATTATTGAATTAACAACTAGTAAATTAATAGAATGAAAAAACATAAAATTTGAAATTTGATAATATGAGAATTGGGGGGAAAGTGAACAAACTCAACAAAGATTATAAATTTTATAATTTAGTAATGTATCATTATGGGGTGAGTCTAAGCCTTGCTATGTTGCTCTATTATGTATACAATCTTAACATCTAATACATTTTTTTTTATTATAATAATGCTCCTTATTAAATTGGATTGCATGACAAAATCACTCATTCATTGGTGTTACTTATATGACGGTTGTGTGTTAGAATAAGTTAATCTAGAAAAATCTAAAGGTATATCCAATGTAAATCTAGGACATAGTCTAGAAAAATCTAGTGAGATATAATATCTAGAAAGTCCTAGAAAAATATTACGAGTAGTTGTTCTAGAATAATAGCATTTGATATTATCATAATTTGTATGAAAAATGTAGAATAATCTAGATTAACCTATGTAACTTCTATAAATATGTGATAGCATCAAAATATGTAACGTGGAGTCATACAAATACTTCCCATAATATATCCATAAGCAAGAGTTCCTTAAGATCAACCTCCAATTTCTAATGAATGAAATTTTTATCATTGTGTGCTATTGAGATGATCTTTGTGCGCTTTTTTTTTTTGAAGGTTAATCTGTCTCACACTGAATTAGGCATCCCTGAACATATCAACTTGTTTAGTATAATCATCTTTCTGGGCATTAGATTTAAAAGTTTCTTCCTGCTTATTATACTCAACCATCCTACGATCATACCCAACTGCTCTTGCCTTTGATTGAACGATTCTTGTTGATGATTAAAGGATTTTTGTCTCTAACATTTAGTCTCTAATCTTCCTTTAGTTTCAAGGTTTCTGACCTGTTCCTCCATTGCACTTGTTTTCCTGGTAACAGCCAGATTGAATATTCAATTCAAAGCTAGTGCGGATAATTTAGGCATCGTTTTTAATTTGATACCCAATGATGCAAGAGTGTAGCGGAGAATAGAAGAAGAGACAGAGAGAATAGTAATTTTTTTTAAAGAGAAAGGAGGAAATAAATGAAAAAGTAAAAAACAAAATAAAAAGAAGGAAAAAACAGAGAGGAAAAAGTGCAAATCGACGATTTTCTTGAACTTTTAGTTATGAAATCACAGAGTGTAATTTCCTTGAAATTATTTGTTTGCAATAATCATCGAAAAAGGAATAATATCTAAAGATTAAAACAAAATCATGAGTATTTAACAATTTGAAATGTCTATATTGCTTGTACAAATAACAAATCTTTCTTGAATCTTGATAAATAGAAAATGCAAAACTACTTATTGAAGCAGCAAATCAGTTAAATTAATAACATTTATCAGTAAAGAATGTCATCTATAAAAGGGAACAAGCCAATAACCCATCTGATTCCAAACAATAGAATTTTTAGTCTTCAATTGCTTATTAGAAACACAGAGAGAATACAACTTTTAGAGAGAAAAAAGGGGGAAATGGAATACAATACAAATTGATAGAAAGAGGGAAAATCAGAGAAAAAGAGCATTGTTCTACTATTAAAGAAAGAGAGGAAGAAATAGGAAAAAAAAAAGAGCATTAAACAAAGACAGAGAAAAAAAAAAATCCAAAAACACTATTTTCTTGAATACAGTCATCTAAAATGCAGAGCAAGAATTTGTGTAAAACAAAATCACCTGCAATTTGCAATTGCCGATGATGCCTAGATGATTGAGGGTTGTTTATACAAGAAATCTTGTAAATTGTTGAGTGGAAATGCAGCTTCTATTAATTTTTCAGCTAATTCGAAGATAAGTGGAAGTTAAAGAAGGAAGAGGTTTTAAAGTTTTAAAATATAGAAGAAAAAAGAAAGCCGCCGGAATTTGGATATGTAGCCTATTGTAGGTATGGTAAAGGTAAAATAGGGCTAAAAAAGTCAATTTCATTGTTACCTAGTGTCATATTTTTGTCAATTGGAAATTTCAATCAAATTTATAATAAGTTTCAATAACTTCTAATTAGGTCTATTATTAAGTTTTAATCAGGTCTATTAAGTTTAGTTAGTTTTTTTTTTTTTTCATTTGATTATAGTTGAACTTATTAGAATTTATAATATTTTGAACTCGACTAAAAGTAAATGTAATTTACCTTATTTTAGGTTTAATAAGTTCATTTTAAGAAAAATTATTTTTGATAATAGTTACTCAAATTCAAATTACAACTAGAATAAGTTTTAATAAATTTTAATAAGTTTAGATAAGATAAACTAAGTTTATAAGTGAAATCAGGTCAATAGAACACACTTTTAGGATTTGTTATTAGAACACACCCTTAATACATCAAAAAAAAAAAAATGATCAAAACATATTAGACCTGATTGAATAGATTAAAATTTATTAGTCCAACTTGGAACTTATTGGAACTAATTAAAACTTTTTATAATATAAATTAATTTATTTTGTTGTTATTGTTAAAATTATTATTAATTATTGACAATTGATTATGTTGTTTTCATTTAAACCTATTATAGTCATTTATTGATATGAATCAATTATGATACTTCCTCCAATCTTTTTTGGGCCTTAACCATTAACTTAAGCTTTTGGTTGAGGCCCAAAATTATGTTTAATACTCTATCACTATTGAATACTAAGCTTTTAGGAACATAGTTAGCAAGTCATCACCATTAACTTTCCTAGAAAGACATCTTATGCTCTAAACTTTTACTTCCTTTGTTTCTTTTTAGTTGACACGTTTCTTTAGTCACGTTTGTAAATACACAATTTCAACCATTAATATCTTCCTTTGAGTCTCATCATTGGAGATAGTGTAAGAGGGAAGAGTTGTGTTGGGTTCACAATTTCACCATATATGGGCCTGGGCTAGTGGCCTTTGGGGTCTGGGCAATACTCATCTCCGAGTAATTTTTCACCACGAAAATGTTGCAGTCTTCAGCTTTATGGTTACAGTTTTAGTTTAAGGCTTTAAGTTAGTCTACTCAAATTAATACTCACCAACTTTTTGATTAATTTCTTCCCCAAATTCCCAAATTTATTGAAAACCCTAATTCCAAATTTTACTAAAATTCTGTTGAAATCAAGTACTATAATGGCGGAAGAAGCTGGTTCCCAGCCCAGCTCACTGCTATTGTTACCCCAGCAACAAGAATACTCTCAAAGTAAGCTTCTTTTATTTTCCCTTTTTTTTTTTACCGTGCTTTTTATTTTGGGTTTTAGAAATTTTAATTTCAGCTTCTATGCTTTTGTATTTGATAGGTAAAAGTGAATAATTTATTTTTATTATTATTTTTTTTTAGTGAAAGTGAATGAATTTGAATTAATGCCGTTTGTTCTGGGAATTGGGGTGAGTTTAATTGGAATTTATTACCCTTGTTTGTTACAGATTTGTTTAAATAACTGTATGCATGCTTGATTTTGTTTCTGGGTTTAGTGGGTAATTGTTGAATTAACAGCTAACTTACTAGGATGAAGAATCACAAAGTTTGAAATTTGAATAAGGGAATTGGGGAGAAAAATGAACAAACTCAATAAAGATTACAGATTTTATAATTAACTGATGTATCGTTATGTGGTGAGTCTGAAGCTCTGAGCCATTGTATGTTGCTCTCTTGGTCTGTCGCCCTTGAAACCGGCTTGTGTTAAGACCATTAATTTTGTGAATTGCTATTTGCCACAATGAAATTACTCAAGCTATAGTATTAAAAGACTTTTATGCCCCTTATTATTTTGAAAATAACATAACAATCCAACCATTACTAACTACTAACATTGTTCTACCTTGACCATATTCAAGCCTTAGCTCACACTGACTATCAGCTCCACCACCCATACCACCACCCACCTTGACTGTCCACCACCACGACTCCACCTTAACAACAAACTTGACCGATCCCACAACGGTTGACCACTAACATTGTACTTTCCGTCCAATAAAATGAGTCGACGATTGTCTGTGTTCATATCGGAGGCACTGGGTGGGGACGACAAACCTTCGACGCTGTCGAGTCAAGTATATGTCAGACTTTATTTTTAATTTCCGTTGTACCCGGTCACATGCTATATGTGACTACACCACGGTATAGTCGCATATAGCATGCGACTATACCGCGGTGTAGTCGCGTATAGCATGCGACTATACCGCGGTGTAGTCGCGTATAGCATGCGACCGGGTACCATTTAATTTTTTTTTTTAAGCAAACCGTTTAATTTACACTAATTAACTTTTAATAATTATTAAAAATAACAAAATACACTAAATTTAATTAGTAAAATTTATTGATTAAAAAAAATTAGTAATTTTTTTTTTTACAACGAAAATTAGTAAATTTATGGGCTTAAACAAATAACAAATTTGCCAAAAAACAAGTAAGGGCAAATGCGTCATTCAATACCGCAACATAAGTAATTCTATTGTGGCATTTAGTAACCCCCTTAATTTTTCTTAATATGATGCTCCGCGTTAAATTGGAATGCATGACAAAATCACTCGTTGATTGGTATTATTAATGCTTGGGGGCGGAGGGAGTAGTTCTAGTAAAATTGCACATAGATTCCTTATATGCACTGTTGAGTGCTACTAATAATGTGTCTCACACTGAAGTAGTCATTCCTGAGCATAATCAACTTGTGGAGTATAATCAAATTTCTGTGTCTCACACTGATGTAGGTATCCCTGAGCATTTGCTGTACAAGAATCGCTTGCAAGAGTATGCTCAAAAGGCAAACATACCATTACCAGTTTATCGTACCATAAACAATGGAGGAGCTTCACAAGCTCCAAGATTTACGTCTACTGTTGAGATAGATGGAGAAACTTACACATCTATGGACACACTTACTAACAGAAAGGCAGCTGAGCAAGATGCTGCAAAGCATGCGTTGGAAGGAATATCTAAGAAGATAAAGAATTGTATATCCAAGAAGACAACTGAAGGAGGATTTCCTCCTATTTTTCAGGTACATTACGTATCGATAATAGCTTGCGGTTTGCCAATATTCTTTGATTTTTTGCTTTGGACCTCTTCATCAACTTAAAATTGTGTGTTTTTTTTTCCTCATTTGATTCTTATTGTTGACAGCAACCATAAATTTGTGTACTATTTTGTGAATGCTTGATAACTGCTCCCCCAATTCTGAAAAATTAGGTCTAATGAATAAACATAAGAATGAGACAGATATATTGCTCAAATGGAAAAGACCATACAACAATAATCAGTGCTGTTAGTATCACAATTTCCCAGATTATAGAAAAGCAGATGGTCATCTCATCAGATTGAATGAGTAATTACTTTACTATCATGCATAAGTGCATAACTATTTAGGAAACCTTTCTAACGTTGCGCAATGATGTAAGACGTAACTTAGAAAGATGGGCAGCTTTTGAAGATAAATTTATATATTCCAAGATTGATCTTCATTTCTTCTTGTTTTAGTTCAGATTTGTGCCTTTGATTTTCCTCTAATATTTCATATTCAAATCTATGTTTTAGGATAAGGTATTTTGTAAGTCTATTCTTCATGAGTTCGCAGTGAAAATGAATATAGAAAAGCCCAAGTATGATACTGTGAAGTCGGAGGGGCTTATTCCTGTTTTCATTTCCACTTTGGAATTCAGAGGGGTAAGGTATGTTGGTGAAGCTAGTGTAAACAAGAAAGAGGCTGAGCAGTTAGCAGCACGTGCTGTTATTTTATCCATTTTAGGTATGTTCTCACCTTAATGTGAAACTTATACATTTAAGTTTTAGCTGTGATGCACGATCGTATATATAGCTCTTTACATAGTTTCTTTGATTGTGCAGCAACTGAAGAAGGAATGCATCTGTCAGAGATTATCAAATCCAAAGCTAAACTTTTTTCTGCAGTGCATGAACATATCCATTCAAATGCAGATACATGTGTAACCTCTTTGCAGCCAAATTTCAGAATCGCCCTTGGGCCTTCTGCAATCCAAGGAGATGCTGAAGGTACTTGTCAAGCTGGTGAGATTGTGAAGGTTGCTGAATTAGCCGTACCAGACCAATCAAGCAAAAAGGAAGATAATGCTGACCAAGCTAGTAATACTCTTGGGAATGTTGTTGAATTGGCCCTCCCAGAGCAATCAAGTGAAAAGGAAAAAGTCACTGACCAATCTAGTAATGGGATTGGAAATGTTCTATTGAATGTTCTCCAGGGACAGTCTCATATTCTACCCAGACATGAATTTAGAAAGCCAGTACTAGAGACATATACTGAACCAGTTCCGCCTACAATTGAATTTATATCTTCACTTGGGGAAAGAACTCCTTTAGATGCATCAGATAGTGTGGGGAAAAGGAAGAGTAGAAAGAAGAAAAAGGCTAACAAGAAAGCCAAAACTGAGATACAGTAAGTCTAAGCGTGGTTTCCCGTTTTTATTTTTGTATGCATTTTGCAATGTTCTTGGGGCATTGAATCTCTACCTGGTTATATCTTTTGCTTTGTCAAGACCCTATAGGCCTAAAGTTAGTGTCTTGGTAACTTCTTTTTTTCTTTTTTGGGTAAGTAGAGTATCGTTGACTAAGTTTTGTTATTAATTCTTAAGCATGGGGAGTGGGGGACTAAATTTTCAGGAAGGACATGCTAAAGTTTTAAAAATGAAAATGGCCACAACCTGGCCACTGCATTATTTTTTTGGTAAGTAAAATTCTATTACCAAAATATTCCATTTACACACTGAAGCCGAGTTGGAAATTGGATAAATTCTAGGATCATCCAAATTCCAAAGACCAAAAGACTAAAGAATACATGAACCAACAACCTGGTCCACTACATACACTGCTCACTCTAAACCAACTTTTATCCTCTATACTGACCTTTTTTTTTTTTTTTTGATCATGTGTATAATCTTATTTTTTTTGCAATGAACTTGATATTGTGTATGATTATATGAATTTGGAGATAAGACAGAATGATGCCGAAAACATGATTTCTTGTATACCATATACTATACAAAACATCTCAAATTTAACTGTTATCATAAAAAACTGTAAAACCAGTCTAAATCTCTACCCGTCTTTTGCCTTAAACAATAATCTATATTTCTATTGTATGCTAAACATTTTGTACAAAATTCCCTACGGAATCTACCTTGTTCAAAAGTGAATCATTCCTAGCTTGTCATAAACTGTATACAGCGCTGCAATAACTTGTTTTATGACCTCCTACCTGAATGCAGAGCCTCTCTAGCTTCTTCAAATCCAGAAAATCTGCTGGGGTAGGCTCCTTTATGTATAGGAATGCTTAACCACTGCTGTAAGTTGGTCATGCATGATTTGCTAAACACACATTTATGGACAAAGATTTTGGTGGCTTACATTGCCACCAGAGAGATTAGGCAACCTTTAATGCATTGCATGCATGTGTTACTATTAACTTCCTTCAGCAATTTTTTTTAAAAGTATAAAGAAAAAATCTAATTTTTAAATATTGTTAACATTGTAAAATGGCACACAGTATTGTGTTAATTAATGATACTACAATGATATTTATGCAAGAGACCAGCTCAGGCCCTTGGTGCATTTTACTTATGCTCAGAGGAGGCCCAAACAGAAGCCTGTTAATTGAGTGTGAGCTGGGCAGATGAGCTGGAAGGTAGTTACAGGGAAGGGTCAAATCAGTAATTCAGGTTAATAGTTTGTTATTCCTTGTTTTTTGTGTTGAGTCTGATAACAGAAGTTTGTTAGTTTGTTTTGTGTATTTAATAAGGGTATTATAAGAGGGGAGGGGTATCTAGAAATCATTGTGGAAGTTATTCCATAAGAGAGCATCCTTTCCTCTCGAAAGAAAGGAGTTGTACTGTGGGTTACTCTGACTTGCAATACAATCTATCTTGTGGTGTGCCTATTTCCTCTGTTTCACTTGAGTTTTCCTGTTTCTTGATCTGATTTCAAGCAATTTAGCAATGCATTGGTATTGTAGAACGACTTGTATATATTGGGTCAAGAAGGATTAGGTAAAATCACTCGTCTTTTGTTTCAAATGGAGTATTTCATTGTATCTTCTATTCTTTTAGGTCCTTGTGGTTTAAGTAGTGTGAGGTTTATTTTGTGCATTATGTCTTGCAGGTCACAGATCTGTGAGTCTGATATTCAGTTCCAAAATGAACTAATTTGTCAATGTCTACTACAAACTTTTTCTCCTGAGTTGTAATAATTGTTGTTGAGCTCCCAATACCGTCTCTTCTTTTAAAGGGCGGGGGTAGGCTCTCTCTACTTCAAGCTTGTGCTGCTTTCATGTGTGCATGACATATGCTGTTGACTAATAACATGTTAGTGAACTTCCGTTCACAGATTATGATTTTTTCCTCATCAATTCCATCTTTTCTTATAATTACAGGATTCAGTGATCTAATTTCTCCTCTTACTAGGTAATACTGGTATTGAAACTTTGTTGTATTTGAAGACAACTCTCGTACAAGTGGAGCCTGATAGAGTTATATGAATGCGAGTAGACTTGCCGATGTGCTTGCATTTTGTCAAATGATACCGAGATTAACAACTGGTATAGTCTGCCCCAATTACTACATTGTGTATTTAAAGTTCCTATGATGATGTTCCATCTTTTGTTGTATATATTAGGAACTATGCCTCAAATAGTGGCAAGCAATTAGCTTTTTCTTTGGCTTGGGATCTTGTATGTGGCACTGTGGCTGACCAACTTTTGTAACAAACAAGCAATATCTTGTAATTTTAAATGTGTTGTTTTAGACCATAAATCCAATCTTGTTTTGTGCTTACATATACGGTGTAATTCTCGATTTTCGATTTGTTGTGAACGATTAACAAGCTATACGCAGTTACTGACTTTCTTAAGAGCCTCACAACTCTGGCTCAAAGTTCAGATTATGTTCTTGTGAGGGAGAATGTGGAGTGTTCAAAACGTGGACCTTGTGCCCGACTTGTTTGGGCCAATTGTCTGGACTCTGGCCTAAGGAGAGCCTAGGTAGTCGTATGCGGAGGATGGGCCATGTTAAAAAGTGCTCATGGCCCAAACAGTTTTAGTACTTTTAGATATGGGGTTGTTTGTTGGTCAATAAAATTGTGATTTATTATTATTATTATTATTATTATTATTATTATTATTATTATTATTATTTCAAATGAAAAAAAGATATATGCAGCCATAAAAACTACATATAAGAAGTTAAAAGTGAAAAGAATTGACAACAAATAAACATTTATTACACCGATTTACTCGTGAATTGTCGATAAATTCCAAAATTAATACTAAAAAAAAAATACTAAAAAAAGGCTGCATATAGCATTACTTTTTTTTTTTTTTTAAATATATATATATATATATATATACGGGTTCATTGTATACCAAACTAACCTAAAATTAGGTTTTGCTTTTCACTTGATGATTAAATGAAAAACAATCATTAAAATGAGAATTGGCTACTCATGAGTTTATCGTGCACCCAAATGTAATGATGTATACAAGTAATTCTCAATTGGAAACACTTTTTCCTATTTTTACATTGTTATTAATCTTATTATCATAATAATTCGTAAGCCATATCGGTATTTGCTTTTCCTCGCCCTCTTTCAAATAAATAAATATAATATAATAAGAAATTAAAAAAAATTGTTGTATGCTTCTCATGCGCTAAAAACAAAATACTGCTTTGTTAATGAATTCCAAAATTCAAAGAAAATGTGTATTTTGTCCGTGTCCTTTTCTCTTGAATTCTTGATAGTTAAATAAGCATGAACTGGTTGAAGAGATACAACAGAAAAATCTTTATTTTTTCCTTCTGGTGAAATTATAATATTATTAGTTCTTATTATGTAAAAAAAAATTCTTACTTATTTTATTTCTTTCAAACAAAATAAAAGAAATAAAATAATTCGATTTTTGGACCATGCTAGAGTCAGCCGCAGCTACAAGGGAGCACCAATATGATTATACGCCCACAAAGTTTGAAAATTACTCAAAATTATATGCTAATTTATGCCTTTATCCTAATTTTCCATTTACAATTTAGCGGCTCATAATAAGTCAACAAGATAAAAACCTTGTTTTTTCTACATAAGCATATTTTTGCAATCATAAGATCAGAAGAAAGGACAAAATTAGACTAACTTCCAAGCTAAATGCCAAGTATTTGAAGGTTCCTTTTTTCCAATTTTCTTTACCAAGTCCGAATTATGGGGGCTAGGTTTACTTGTACATTATGAAATATGAACAACCTTATGAAGGGTATACCTAGAGATTCAAAAATCGAACTAACATATATAGGTACAATGATTTAAACTTAAACTTAAACTTAAACCAAACTCAACTCAATCATACTGAATTTGACCCTTTTACCTAAAGTGATACCTTTGTAAAGTTTGTATACACCCTTTATGCTTGACTTGAATTATTAACACTAAAAAACATGTCTCAAAAGATGTAGTAACTTTAGTTTTATTTGTTTTTGGAGGTATGTTAGAGATAAATTTCACTTTTTTTATTATTTAAAATCAATTCGTAACTCTATATTTAATTTATATTATTGCGGTATCATTATTATAGAAAGAAATGTAGTGATAATGTTACTATGAGTACAAAAGAAAACCAACTAATTGATCTAAATGATTACGAGTATAACTGTTTTATGATATATGAATCCGAGCTGAAAGAGCTCTATTTACATTAGATATATATATATATTCTAAAATAGTACTTTATACGTACGAAAATAGCTAATAACATTCCGCCTTAAGCTCATTAAAAAATCGAATACATCAATTTTCATTTATCTAACATCTAGATCATAAAATAAGAGAGAAAATAATTTGAATGAAAGACAGATGTTATAGGAGATGTCAACAATGTTGTTCGAAATTAGCAAAAACACGGAAATGCTCATATATTACATTAAAGAGCCTCGGAAGTTAACAAAGAGCCAACATGCCTAAGCACAAAGTACAACCACCTCATTTATTACTGGAGTATAATTATTAATTTTTGTAATTTGCAAAATCCAAGGGTGAGATTTTCAATTTTGTACTAATTTCTTTTTTAAAAAAATATAATGGAGATTTTTGTTGTGATATGATTCATAATTGCTACTTCCACTAATAATATTTCTTTAATAATACCCGCTGCTCAATTAATATGTCTGGTGTCTATAGCTAGTGGCTCAAGAAGGATTTTATTTTATTTTTATGAACTAATCGTAAAAGAAAATTTGGAATTATTTAATTTGTAAAAAATGTACGAGTTGCTTCGAAAATTGTTACTACGAATTAGGAATAAGCTAATGTAATTGTGTATGTATGGTCGGTCATTTTGGCTAAATGTAAAACTTATACTGAGAACCTGTTCTAGCTCTTCATCATAATTTCAATTCAGTTCAGTTCCTAATTTTCCTCTCTCATAAACAGTTCAGTTCAGTTCACTTCAATTCAGTTCAGCTCAATTCAATAAATCAAAACAGACTCTAACCCTTATTTGTCCTATGGAATTGGTCTACATTGAAGCCTTGAAGGTTCCCGTTAAATTTATTTTGGAGATAAGTAAAGGAAACTCTACTAATTACTATTCCTGTTTCTTAATATTTGCAATAAAGCAATGTTTTATATCTCACATATAATACACCTTTGTTGCAAATAATAAGAAATGAGGTAGTATTAAGGATAAATCTCTTACCGACGCTTTAAAACAAAGATCGTGAAGTCATGTTTGTGAAAAGCATTTCAATATCCTAACAATGTTAAGTAAATCGCTAGATATCTGGAGCTAGGGTAATGCGTCCAACTTTCTTTAACTAGAAGTAGATAATTTTCATCATTGTCATTTGACCCGTAAATAAGATTGAAAAAATTACAACTAATCTAGCTTAGAGTTAGTATGGAATAGTATTCTTGTCAATATTGCAATTTAATTAGGAATCCAATCTTCATATTAATTAAGGGAAAGGTGTCCAACTGTCTATGGATTATCTAATATACCCTATAAATAAGATGTAACGTCATGCATGCATAGGAAAGTAGGAATACGATTTGATATTGTGGTAGCCTTGGACAAAGTCATTGCCAATCAGAGTAATTTCAAATTCAATTGGATACTCATGGTAAATATTCAAATTAAAGATAGCATCATCCTTAGGGTTACATTCAATTTTACGAAATATGAGCAACGTTGAATAATGTGTAATTTTCTTAACTTGATAATCGATACAATTTGAATAGAGCTCTCTGTATAAGTTGTCATACCAGCAGGGTTTTGTTTTTTTTTTTTTTTTTTTTTTTTCTAGAATTCGATAATCACTGAAAGATAATGAAATGTAATTTGACGTAAGACCACTATCAGCAGTGAGGAAAAAAAAAACCTCTCAATCTCTCTCTACCCACTTTCTCACTCCTCCCATACAATTTCTCTCATCAAATGTTTTTTTCACTACATCAATGAGGAGAAAAAAAAACCTCTCATCACTTTTTCCTCCACTATTTACTATACCCCACCATAATACACATCATCTTTTTATTTTATCTTTATTTTGAAATAATGTTTATACTACATATTTAATTTTCCAATACAATTAAAATATGTGAAAATAATTTATTTTTTAATTACGTTTAAAAATAATTTAATAAAAATGTATAATTTAATAACAATTTATAAGTTTTATATTTACTTTTCAATTACGTTTAAAAATAATATAATAAAAATTTATAATTTTTATATTTATTTTTCAATTACGTTTCAATTATAACTTAATAAGATTGTTATTTATTTGTCAATTACGTTTTAATTATAATTAATAATATTTTTTTTATTTTTCAATTACGTTTTATTTATAATTTAACATTTGAATTAGTAGCACATTTTTGTAATGAACACATTAAATAGTCACATGGGAACTTCAATAACGGTAATACAAACACATGGGATGTTAAATAACGGTACAATTACGAACTAGATAAAAGTGGTTCTACTAAAATAAAATACAAACACGAGTATTAAAACATAAATAACGATACGGTTACAAATAACAAACTAAAAAATTATTTATTCAACCGCATTATGACGAAAGTTCTGCCATATGTGCTCCACTAAATCTTGTTTCAGAGATGAATGAATTTCTCTATCACGAAGGGAAATCCTTCTCTCCAAATACGTGTTGAAATCAATGTTGGGTGGTCGCCCGACGTTGAATTCAAATGGCTCGTTGTTAAACACCGTGGCACTTGTGCTCGGGTCTGCCCGCCTCACCGTACGTTGTGGTCGATCTTCTTCGTAGTATCGTCTCAAAACATCTGCACGTGCGTAGTTGTGTCGTTCATCCTCGACGATCATGTTGTGCATTATTATACAGGCTTTCATAATATCACAGAGAATATCTTCGTCGTATGCAAGTGCTGGTTGTCGTAGTATAGCGAACCTAGCTTGTAAAACTCCGAAAGCCCGTTCGACGTCTTTCCGAACTGCTGCTTGTTGATCAGCAAACAACTTGTCTCTTCTAACATGAGGATGTGTTATACCCTGTATAAAAGTTGGCCATCTCGGGTAAATCCCATCGGCCAAGTAGTAGCCCAACTCATATTGATGTCCATTAACCGTAAAATTTATGGGTGGTGCATGACCTTGTAAAACATCATCAAATACCGGTGAACGGTAAAGGACATTCAAATCGTTACATGACCCAGGCATTCCAAAGAACGCATGCCAAATCCATAGATCCTGATCATCAACAGCTTCAAGAATGAGAGTTGCACTCTTGCTACGACCAGCATATTGTGCCTTCCAAGCAGTAGGACAATTCTTCCACTCCCAATGCATGCAGTCTATACTACCAATCATCCCTGGAAAACCACGCAGATCATTTTGATGAAGGATTCTCCTTAAATCTTCATCTGTAGGTTTTCGTAGATATTCACTTTCAAATTGTGAAATAACCCCTTGACAGAAATGTTGCAATGCCTGCCTAGAGGTTGTTTGGCCGAGACGTAAATATTCATCCACAGCGTCTGCGGCTACGCCATACGCTAACATTCTTATTGCAGCGGTGCATTTCTGCAACGGTGATAAACCAAGCTTCCCAGCTGCATTTCGACGTTGCTGGAAGAATTGATCCCCCTCAACCACTTTGCTCATAATGCGGCAGAACAATGACCGTTGCATACGGAATCTACGTCGAAATTGGTTGTCGTTATACACTGGATTATTCGCGAAATAATCGTTGTATAGTTGCACATGCCCTTTTTCTCTTTCCCTATCCCTTTTGGGCTCCGTTGATAGTTCAGTTTCATTATTTAGTGGAGGTTCTTGTGGTTGGTCTGGAGGAAGTAATCTATGAGGTAGGTGATTTGCTACATACTCATCAACTAAGAAATCAAATTCATGATTTTTTGACAATATAATAATACGATTTTTTTCAAGGATTAATAAATTTAACAGAAATAATAATAAAGAAATTATTAATAATAATAATAATAATAATAATAATAATAATAATAATAATAATAATAATAATAATAATAATAATAATTATAAGAATACCAATAAAACTACTACTTTTTTTAAATTAACACTACTACTACTACTAGTAATAATAATAATAATTATAATAATAATAATAATAATAATAATAATATTAAATAATAACTGAGGGTTTTTTTTTTACGAATAATAATAATAATAAAAATGATGAAAATAACTCAAAGAAATTGGGAAAAGAAGGAAATTTGTAGTATTTATGGGTTTTTTGAAAGTATATCAAAATATATCAAAATGCATGTCTATTTATAGAGAAAAAAAAATCTATCCGTTGGTGAATTTTGTTTTTTTTTTTTTATAATTACAACGGTTATATTTACCTTACAAAAATATAACCGTTGTAATAAAAGCAAAAAAATCTGATTGGTTGGAAGGACAAAGCCTGACGCGTGTCGCATCCCCATTGGCTAGGTCTGACGCGCGTCAGGCCAGCTGCCCCCTTATTTTTTTTCCTTTTTGCCCCTCAAAACGGCGTCGTTTTGCCCTTCTTTAAGGCAAAACGACGTCGCTTTGCAAGCCAGAAAGGAAAAAAAAGGAAAGCAGCGTGTACATGTGGGGCCCACCGGTTACTGTTCACGAGTATTTCCCCTCAACTCTTGTGCGTTTTCCATAGCTCTCAACGGTGAGGGTTTTTTCCCTCACTAACGTAATGCTCGGGTATTTTTTTTACACCTTTATTTTTACTCGTGAGGGCTTTTTTCCTCACTGCCGGGAGTGCTCTAAGCAAGTTTTAAAAAATGAAGAATAGAGTGGGAAAAGCATAATCTCCTAGAGACAAGGGAAGTACGAGCGCTTGTAACAACGAGAGTCATAAATTGGTCCCCAACGTTGTTGTAGTTTTACTGCCTCTTCTTCCAATTCATGTCTTTTACTGAAACTTGTGCTCTTTCTTAGCTTGTTTCACCCTCATGATTCACGACTTATTCAAATTCTATGTACTAGTACAGTAGTACTCAATCTTGTAATGCTACATTTTCGACAATCAAGATTTCAGCTAAGTTATGATGAGCATCATGATTCATGACATTATATTGTACGTATAATAGATCGAAGCTTTAAATGTTGTTGCTCGAATGAAGATTTATATATATACCATTATTTATTTGAGATATCTTTACACACTTTGATTAAAAATACTATAGGTGGTAACGGAAAAGTAAAGTAATGAGAATGAATCAAATATACGTAATTTTATACTTAAAATATCAAATTATATGGCCGGCAAAGCAACTTCATTAGTTCATTCTCAAATGATGTATACAACTTAACTTGATTCATTTTTATTAGAGATTTATTACTGCCTACCATATGGGCCAATAAAATTATATGATAGTCACAACAAGAATCTGTATTTTTACCAACCAATAAAAATATTTATAATTAGAACACGAAAACATTTGTATTTAGATGTCCGTAGGTAAATGATATTCACATATTGTCTCACACTTATTGGAGGCTCTATAGCTTATTATAGCACATCATTACAAGTTAGCTACTACTTAAATTAAGGTAAGAAGTTAATTGTACTGTTGAAAAGAAAATCATTGTTTCACCATATACCAATTGACTAATTGTTATGACTCTATTGTTGTTGAACCATTTCATACAAAGTTTTACCAATAAACTATTTTTTTTTTTTTTTTGACATTATAAACTATTTTTTTTAGCGTAACTATTTTTCACCAAGAATGAAGAACCCCATTCAAAATACAATCTTAAGAGTACAATCTTGCCAAGAACTTGTTGCATGGTTTAATTTGATTATGGCTCCAAATTAAGCCAAAATGATAGGTTTTTGCATGAGTGCATGACCTTATATGTTGAAGACTCGATCTCCTCCCCCCTCCTAACCAAGTTTTTTCAAGGGAGAATGATGAGCAATGAAATTTTATTAATTGAAATATTTAATGGTATCAAGATCGTTCGTAAGTCAATTGAGGTTATAATGTCTTAATTGGGTGAAACAGTTGTCAAACTGTCGGCATACTTAATATGCTCTACCCTATTAAGAACTTAAGATGGACTAAATTTTGCCATTAAGTGAGCCACGATATTTTCAACTCTATAGACGTATGTTGAAAAAAAAAAATCGAATTGTGAGCTAATATAAGAACATCCTCTACCAAAATAGAACTCCGTACTAAAATTGTATTTGACTATTACAAAGTAATACCAAACAGAGAAAACCTATAATTGTGCTTACCTTATTATATATAGAATTTTAGATCTGCCACTCATTACTGTAGCTAAGTCTTGATGACGCCAATCTATATATATGTATAATCTACAATATGATGCAAACTGATTAATTAGTTCTCCTAAAACAAATTAATTAAACTTGTTAATTCTTACAAACCACAAAAAAAGTCCTAACTCTAGGTAGAATTTGTAACCTCGTTAATCAATAACAAACAAAGCCTAAACTCATGTTAGCTTCCCAAGATACAATTTCAATCCAAAATTAACACGTATAATTATGGATAAATTACTAAATTAGCTTAGGTGAACTGTCTTTTACTATTGTACAAAATAATTCTCAAGTAATAATAATCTTATTATTATTGATATTAATGATATAATATAAGGTAGCTAGCTAACATACAAAGAAAAAATTATACCATAATAATATAAAATTAGGAAAGCCACGTGAAATAGATAGTTCTAAATTCTAAAATGATGGAAAAAAAATATATAAGGGAAACTAGGTAGGAAAGAGAGCAAATGATGAAAGTGAGAGTATTAAACTCATGATTTATGTGTTTAGAGGAATCTCTTCAGACGTGGGCTTCGCGAAAGATCCGCCGTTGTTTCTGCTCTTTTTTACTCTTTTTTTCATCCGCCAACTCACAATCCCAAGGTATACATTCATAATTTATACGATTATTTGCGCAATTAGATTAGCCTATTTTTCTTTTCTTATTTTTGATGGGTGCAATTCATTATGTCTATTACCTAAGTATGTTTTGAGGGTACACCTAGAGATATCGGATCACAAATGAGTAAAAAAATAGCCTTATAAAAGACACTGAACATTAGGTGTATTCGAGAATAAATATGATTAGTTTAATTTGATTTTGCGTTCTGATTAAATTAATTTGTGTAACTTATTTTTTTTTCATAACCAAAAAATTGATATGATTTTTTAATGAACTTGTTGATAATTTAACCCTTTTTAAGCCACACATCAATGTCATAAAATATTATTTTTTACAAAACACCTACATCATCATCCCTTTAGTATAAGTATCTTCAAACCTAATTGAGTTCCCAACAAATAGGTCTTTCCCTCAAAAACCAAACTCACCTAGCTAGCTTGTTCATAGTTAGGGTTTGAGGCAAACTCTATATATCTAGAAATCAACTCAAAAACTCAACTAAATTAGAAAATTCACTAGTAGAAAATCTTGTTCCCTCTAAACCTTTTTAAGTAACTAGCTTTGCTATTTCTAGCCATGGCACTTGCAAAAGATCATCATCAAACACCCTCTTGTTCCTTTTATAGTAATATGTTAGAAGCCGGTTCATCTCTTCAATTCCCTCATATTTCCCCTTATGGATTTGATAATTTTAATCAAAAACGAGAAGGCGATGCCCTAGAAAGCCCTAGTAGTAATAGTAAGATAATTATGAACAATAATACTCAAGTTATGAGCCCTTCACCACCCCTATCTAGCTCAACTAGTAGTGCTAATTCTAGCAATGGCGGTAGTTTTGTAATTCAACACCCTCAAGCTTCGAATTATCAACCTCATGAAGAAGCTAACTCCTTGATTAACTTCAAAGCCGGGTATGAAAGCTTGATGCATAGTGGTGGATCATTACTTAGCTTCCAACAAGAGGATAACACTACTTTTAGTAATGATCATCACCACTATCATCCAATGTGGGAGGCTAGTAGTAGTAGTGGTATGAGTCATGATCACCTCAAATTGATGAAGAATTGCACCTCAAACTTGCGCCTTTTGGAAGAGGTTAACTGCCTACAAACCGCGAGTGATGGTGGCTATCAAGATGAAGCTAATGAATGGCTCTACGCCGAGGCCATCATCGATCCTCCTCAAGAGTCTGGATCACAGCAAACATCCTTTAACAAGAGACCTCATATGGTAAATACATCATGTTCAACAAATTAATTTTTTAAAATACTCATAGTACATAATTTATGATCATCCTCTTTTTTTTTTCATTGTTAATTATGTTACATGCTTGTATTAATTAGTGATGATACATAGACATAGATCTTCAGTAATTATGATACAGGAGAATTGAACATAGTTTCATGCTTAATTAATATAATCCCTAGTGCATTTAATTTGCCTTGGTGAATTAAATTTGCATATCTATGTTTGCATAGTAATTAGTGTAGTATAGCTTTTGAAAATAAAATTGTAGAATACCTAGGTCTATGTTTTTTTTTATTTAATTTACTTAATTTGAATGGTTTTAATTTGTAGGAGGAAGAAACCATGCAAGCCTCCAAGAAGCAGTGCACAAGTACCTCAAAAAAGTCTGCAAAAACCAAATCTTCAACCTCCAAGGATCCTCAAAGCATAGCTGCTAAGGTATGCAAATTTTAATTGCTTCTTTAATGAACTTTA